CTAAATCCGCTACACATCAGGTATAGGCCCGATCATCCTATAACTTGATAATAGAAATCCTTGACGCTTCAGGAAACCTGATGAGTTTCGTAGGGTGCATGGAGACAGAGCTGAAACTCCTTGGAAGAGAAACAAGCCTGGACAAAATGCGCGTAAAGCGACTCAAAGATGAAGCCTTGCTACTACGAACAGACGCTTCAGAGGCGCTCGGGATAAAATTAATGACCCCATCTCGAAATTAACCACAAACTGGTTGTGACAAGACGGTTGGCGCACAGGGAAAGAATCGCTAGAGTCGGAATTCCATTATCCCACAAAAAGCGCTTATGGCCGACGTAGCAAAGAGGTCATATGTAATACCAAAAACTTGTAGTAGAGTAGAAGTGAGATGCGAACAGCATTCAATTCAAATGCAATAGCACGATGCAGTCCTGTGTTCACACAACCGCTTGGAGTGGGGTGCGCTCAGTATCCGAAAAGGAGTGGCTGAAGCGCCAGTCATTGAAGATTTAGATGAGCCGGTAATTTTCAAAAAAGGAGAAACAATTGGCGAGTGGTCGCAACACAAATGGGTAGATCCGCGGCTTGTAGATGACAAATCAGACATGCTGGAGTTGTCGAAAGAGCATACTACAGAGCAAAGGATGGAGATGCTCCTTAACGATCTAAGCGCAAACAGGAAATCTGGAGAGTTCTCTCAGAAGTTGAGAATGTTAGTCCAGGTGTTTGCCGATGTATTTGCTGTCAGCGACCACGAACTAACGCAAACCGACCTGGTTCATCACGACATCGACATAGGAAACACCAAGCCAATAAATCAGAAAGTCCACCCAATTCCGCGAAGAGTTCAGCCGGAATTCATAGCCAAACTGAGCGACTTGGAAGCTAGAGGCGTTATCGCGAAGTTCAATTCAGACTGGGCGTTTCCTGTTGTCTTGGTGCTAAAGAAGGACAAAACATTGAGATCCAACACTAATCCACGCTACCTCTCTAATCGTGCATTTATGAAAAGGAGGTCGCAATATTCAAGAGTTTTTTTTTTCTGTGCTGAGATCGACGATACGAACCCAGCAATCAACGCAACCGATTTAGGAGCCACTCAATGACAGGTTTTGCACATTCCCATGATCGCATTCTTCAATAAGGCTCCCGTCCAATCTCCCACACATCACTGTAACAAAGCCAGAAGTAGCGAGTCAGTTTTTCTTTTCAATTCCAAACCTATATGGGTGACAACACATGCATGGCTTCCCTCACAAAAATCCTTCGCCTGGCCGGTATCTACCAAATGAACCTACCATATGAAATCAATTGTACCTTACATGGTAGCAAGGAAAATGTGCCAAATTTTTATGTCATTTCTACACTAACGACAAACAGTACTTGTTAGTAAACGGAACGCGTTGGGTGTTAAAATTTGCAACTACCTTGCAACAAAAATGCTAGCGATGGCGGTAAAGAACTTCACACGACCTGTGAAAAGAGCCGAGTAGATTGTTCTGCTCGGATTCATTATTTCGTTATTATGACAACGCCACCACTTGACAAGATTTGAAATGTTAAAGGCAGCAGGCGTTGACGGACGCCGCCAACCCGTCAACGCCAGCTCAAGGCATCTGTAGAAGAAAACTCGAATAAAACGAACAGCCATCTATTAATTAAAAGACAATAAATCGATGAATAGAAAATATGAAAACAGGAGAAAGGACCCATCGAAAATTACCACACTCAATATGTAAGAGCTACAGGATGACGTAATGAATAATTGCATACCTAGTCAACAATAACAGAGCATTTCTCTTTGAAAGGATTGGTTGTAACGAATAGAAGTCAAAACATACATAGGCTATAGATCGATTTCATTACTGTGCTACCCAAATGATCGATGGTCCTTCTGCTCTTCGACATCCCGTGCCTTAAGAAGTCGCATTCCGACCACAAACCGGAAAAAAAAAATGAGGCGAAACACAAAAAGCAGCAAAAGCACAGGAGGATTCAGACAACAAAGGAACGAACAAACAAATAATGTTTTAATATAATTATGATAACAGTTGTATAGAATTCTAGATTCTCTAAATGGAGCGAAAATGTATTGAAGAGCATATGCAATACAAGCACGACAGCGTCAGATATATAGATACCCCAGCAAAATTAGCAACAACGATGAAGCGGTTGTGGGTAATATATGTGAACTTTCGATTGTGGAAGAACGTTGAGTGAGTGATCAAGTGAAACATTTTAGGGGAGCAAATCATTCAAGAATAATGCATGTGACTTAATGCGAGAAACGACCGCGACGGGCCTAGACGGAGTTGACTAGCGAAACACCTGCCGTACGGCGAACCAAAGTCCTTTAAGAAGTATAATTTTGGCAACGGAATATATTAGTCTTTAAACGACACAGTTCTAGAAATAAGATAGTTAAGATATGGAAAAGTTGCAATGCAATGTTCTCGTACTGCAAGACAGAATTGTGAGCGAAAATGCGCACGAAAAGCAATCAGCAGGCAACAAGGGAAATTCCAACGGGTGAAATGACAAGAGAAACGTGAATGAATGATACCCGTGTTCAATCACAATGGTGCCGCTGCAGCGAAGACATGCAAAACCAGCATAAAACTGAGAAAAGAAACTTTTTGAATACACTATTTGAGGAACCGAGTAGTCATAATTGTTAATGATGATGCAACACCGCGTATAGGTCGTCAAATCCAGGCACATCGGGTCGGCACGCCCGCAATGCATTTTCCAATCGCTCCTTATCAATTTCTTGTAGAAATGGTAGCTCTTCGGAATATACGAAAGAAGACATCGTAGCATGATCTTGAGAATCTACTTTTGCATTCATTTCAGCCTGAAAGCATTCCCTCGTTGAAAAGTAGAGCAATAACACTGACTTCATGCAATCTAACACACGAAATTCAAAACTTTGAATTAGGAAACAATAGCCAGAGAGGTTTCTTAAAAGAACAAATTGTGCAGTTCCTCAAATAAACCCAGAACTCGGAACTCCATTCAGTAACTCCCTTTTGAAAGCAAAACAAACGGAGCGTATTTCGACATGGCGATTTAATGAATGATACTACTTCCACTAATTGACTAGGGAACACTAGACGCGCATGACGCTAGAATTTGGTTTTATCTTTAAAAGAAACAAGTATAAAGCAGGTGAACCAATTAATCGAAGCTGTCATAGGAGAAATTGCTGTCGCCACTTGATTTCCCTTCCAAACACATGTAACGCGTACAAATTTTATCCCTTCCCACAAATTTGAAAAAAAAAATCGGGAAACTGGGTCTGATATAAACGGTCACGTTGCACGCTGAAATTGGCGTACAATAAATATTCGTGGCGAAGATGATAACGCTAACCATTCAGCACTCCTATCTAACCGCTTCCTATCGCAGCACAAAATTGTGAGTTTTGTCCAAATCATAACGTAGAATTCAGCACATACCATGCGTTTGAGTGAGACAACCAGCAATTCGTACGGTTTATCTTTTCGTTCGTCCTTGGAGGCTTCTATAAACACGTTCGTGAAGTCTTTGAAAGACGGTCGTACACCAGTTATTACATTCGGATCGCAGTAGACAGCATTTACCAATAACTGAAAACAAAATCAGCAATTTGTTATAGCATATGTTATTGGAAAGATATCATAGATCGAATTTAACCTCGGCAAGCTTGCTCCATATATCGGGAATGTCCATCCACATCTCACATTCAACTGCTAGTGAGCAATACTTTGCCATTCTAAAAACACATTTTTTATGAACGGAAGCCAATCGCACGCATTATTAGGCGAAAGCACACAAACCCAGCCAGAGCTTCCGATCTATGTTCGGAATTTTGCAAGGCCAGACAGAGCATGTGACCAAGCTTGGGGAGAAGGGGTTTGCGAACCTAAAAACTAGCATATATTTTTTTCCACAAGTGCATACAATTTCTAGCCATCGTACCTTCTCTACAGCGTATTCTGTAAAACGTGAAAATACTTCATTAACACTAGGACGCCCGTATTGTTCTGCGTCAACCATTTTGAAAATGTCATTTACACACTGAAAAGAGAATTTTGTGCGAATTCACAAGAAGTGCAACTGAAAGCTACAACTAACTTCTTCCAATTTCATGTCGCCTTCGTCGTAGGTTTCGAGTATAGCAGCCACTTCTTTGCCAATTTTCTTATACAAATCCTCACGCATGGCCTTCAGCTCTTCCGAGTCAGGTTCCTTCATAAATATATACCTTGCTTCATGTAAGACTGTGTGAAGAAAAACGCAAAAAGTGGAGCAGGGATGGTAATTGATTGATCACAAAAACCTTTCTTTTGGTAATTCAATAGCATGGCTTACTGTTACAAGAAGACAAGCAATTACCGGTGTTGTATCGGGTTTCCCAACACTGCCTGACTTGGTGGTAGCTAAAGTTGTTGCTCGTTCATCAACAGAAGAATTCTAGAAATCATCTAATTAGACCAGTTAATACCGGCTCAAACCAGTTCAGATAAGAACACATGATAACGGCGTGGAATCGGCCCGACTTTCAAAAGCTTGGAATCGCTTTGCCGTGAGGACAACTATACTGAGCACCGACCTTTCGTGGAATCTCGTCACGCCCAGGTTTTTGCCAACCAACTTTCGCTGCTTCCACTGTTGAGTTGTTCCCACCACCTCCAGATCCTTGATGCCATGTTTTTCTATTCGATCCTCCGAGTGAGTTGTCGCCCTAAACAGCACAGATGAGAACATGCTTTCATATTGAAAAAAATAGAGTTAACCTTTAGCAACAAGCTGACGCTCTTTGGCTGCACACTAGATGGTGTCTGTTTTGCTTTAGATGCAGCAATTGATCGCCTGTCACCACCTTTAGGACCAAATCTGTTGTCAAGTGAGTTTCGTGGTGGTGGAGGATTACGACCATGCTGAGATGTGCTTCCACCTGTTCGCAATTTGCGGTCGTACTGAAAACGAGGAAATGAGTCGCTAAATAAAGATACAAGGATTCAAACTAAAAAGGAGAATCATGTTTTTCGAATCCATGTGTAGTGAATTGTAGGCAGTGTGATCCTGTGGAGTGAAGAGCATCAAACATAGTAACAAACAGGTATTCGCTCCTTACCTATACGCAAGCATAACAATGCTGCTGCTTTTACTCTTCGAAGATACCAACAATAACTATACCTATTATGATAATTTGTCTTCAAAGAGTATTGGAAATAGACAAGCTGATGACTTCATACGATACGGTACGCTCAAAT